TAGTGTGGCCAGTCATCTCTGCACATCCTCCTATTATGATCTCCACGTCCCTCGCCTACAGTATCTCTCCTCTCTCTCATCAATTGGATTCCCGGAACTCAGCCTGGTGCCTGACCATGGATCTCTGTATCTGCCTCCATCTGTCACTGGACAAAGGCTCTATGATGACAGCTAGGTTATTTGCTAGGCTGGTCACCAGAGTAGACCGGTCCAGGCACCCTCTGGACCACTGCCAGCATACCAAGGTGGGGTCAACCTTGTGGATTCCTGAGAGCCTTCCCAGCACCCTGCCTCTTCCTATTCCCATGATGGCTAAGACAGATCTTATGAGTTCTTACTGAATATGATGAATAGTCTGGTTAGTAGAAGAATTCATACTTCGTACACGAGTAGAAAGAAAACATGTTTGTTTATTATACTGCAAAGATAGTAGCAGTCATGACAGTAACAAAAGAACCAGCTTGAGATTATGAGTTGACAGGATCTCCATTTTGGAGGAGTTCTAATATGGTTAGGGTGGATCACTTTGTGTTCAGTTACTCAGCATGTAATGACTGCCATGCAAATGAAGGCAGTCCAGATTGGTAAGTGTTACGTCTTGAGAGGGTAGAGAGATTGCATGTAACTTCCTGTCATGTGATTCTCACCATGCAAATGAGAGTAGCTCTATGATAGCCCATTGAATCTAAAACTTTTGGTCAGCCATTCTCCTGCTCTACATTTCCAATGTTGGAGTGAGTGAAAGACTCATGGATTTTTAAGGATGCTTTCTGAACCAGGCTTCTATTGGGAACCTCTTCCTTTTCTAACCTCTTGATAATGGCCTTCCTTCCACAAAGTATGTAGTAGCTATCTTGGTTTAGTCTTTTCTCAGTGTATACATATTTTGAAACACTATGTCACACCAATAAATATATACAATTATTTATCAATTTAAATGAAAAATTGTAAATACAATAACATTTACAGAATTAGGAGTCTGCCAAGCATAAAACACTAACTTTCTTTTAATTAAAAGAAAAAACCTTGTAACTAAGTGAAGAGAAATGAGGTATTCAAGGATTTGCAGACAACATAAGAAAGAGATTGATTCTCTTTGAAAACTGAGAGAAAAGGCAGGGAGGTATACATATTTAACCTAATTCCTAGCAAAACTCTTCAAGGTCTTTGGAGATACAGACTAGAATGTTCTAAAATATATTTGGAAAGCCAGGCAAACTAGAGGAGCTGACAGACTTTTGAAAAAGAACAAAGTAGGAAGAATCACTCTACAGGGTTTCAATATTTATCACATAATTATAGCAATTATCATTAGTGTGATATCAACAGATAAATACATAGCTCAATAGAACACAGGCCCAGGCACAGCCACTTATAAGTACAGACAACTAAATTTTTATAAATGTGCAAAAGCAGTATCAATGGAGAAAGGACCTTTTCAATAGATGGTGAAAGAATAACTGGACATCCACTAGCACAAATACAAGCCTTGCCTATGGGGTAAAATGAACTAAAAATACATTATAGGTTTAAATATATAAACATACATGAAACATATTAGAAGGCTCAGGATAAAATCTTTAGAACACAGTAGCAGAGCAAGTTTAGGTATAGGGTATTTGGGGATCATTTGTTTGTGGCAGTAGTAGTTAACAATTTGTGAGATTCTGGAAATCAAGTTCACCAATTTTGGCTATTGGTATGTATAAAAGCTAAGCTAATAAAATAAAATCTAAGTCCATGGAAGGGGGGGGGTCACAAAGTGGAACACTGTGCAAGTGTATTCCTATAAATTTCAAGGGGAAGTTGAAAGTGAAAGTGAGCTGTGGGACTACAAGTGGAAACTGAGAGATAGAATAGTGGGCCTGCAGTCTGGCTGCAAGGTGAGAGAAAGTCAGGAAGGAGCAGAAGATAAGGGAGGTGTCTACATGGGTCCACAGGCCACAGGAGCCAGAGTCACATGGGGAATAAAGTGGGCTAGAGCTGAAGCAGTGGGTCTCCCAGACTGCTGGGAAAGGGGAGAGAGAAGGAGAGGAGATGTCCACGTGGGTGCAAGAGGCTACAGGAGCCAGACAAGCACACATATGCCCACATAGATGGTAACACAGGGCAGAGGGGAGCATCAGCTGAAGAACTGAACTCTAGAAGTTGGAATCAAATCAAGTTTATAGACAAATGATTTGTACATACTTTATTGACGGTTAGATCAGTAGATGCTGCAAGGGAGAACAGGCATGTTGTGGGCACGAAGCAACTGGTCTCTCCAGCTGACTCCCATGTTGTAACAAATGTAAGGATGGGACATTTGCACAGTTTAGGGTGGGAGAACAGACAGAAAAAAAGAGAACAGATCTGTTGCAGATGGATGAAATCCCAGCATGGCCAGACCAAATGCCAGGAAAGCCTAGTGAGTAAAAAGGCAAAGTGGGTACATTTTGGCAGGCCCTGATGAGGTGTGCCACTAAGAGAACACACCAGGAACAACAGAGTTGGTGCAAGAGTTTTTTGGGGGGATGGGGAGAGTGAAAGCGTGAAAGACCATCTTGGAGTAGAGGGTGGAGGCATAAGAGAGGCAGGTAGGCAGACAGAGGGAAGAGAGAGGGGTGGGTGTGCAGAGATCAAAAACCCTGGATAAGGGAGTTCAAACCATTTGTCATATGGTGTGAGACAGTCCCAATTTGAATAAATTTCATAGTAGACACCCCAGGGATGACTAAGGATCAGGTTTAGACTCAGGGTTGCCCATTTCTAAGCCTGTACCAGAGACTGATGACCTTGATAGCCTGGGTCGAGTGGTGGGTGTGGGGTAGCCTTTGCCTAAGACACTTCCCCCCACAAAAGTTCTATGGAACAAAGATGGCCTTTGCTCCAGAAACAGATCAGAGTTGCCCTAGCATGGCAGGAACCCCAAAGGTCTTGACCCAGAAGGGGTCTTACCCCAGAATAGGTACCCAGACCTCTGTAGGCAGTGGCTTGGAAATGGGTAATTTACCCCAAGTCAAAAGTTGATCCTGTCTGGCAGAGAGGGAAATAAGAGAGGAGTGGCCTCCTACATGGCCAGGCTCAAGTCCTCCCGGGTTTTGGCACCAAAATAATAGGTTATCTGCACCCTGATAATAGGTTTCTCTGCCAACTCAGTAAGTCAGATCAAACCAAATTAAAAGGAAAAGATCAGGTTTATTCTGAGCAAAGCAACTCCTGGGTGAGTCCTGCAGCCCCCAGAGATTGGGACGAAGGAAAGGACAGGAAAAAAATCACATGGCCAAAATAAAGGAGGGTGCTCACATACCCTGTAGTCAAGAGGTGATGACGTGTCCTCCATAAGCTGGGTTTGTGCCCCATTATAACACTTTAGTGAGGGATTGGATCACTGACAACTTCAGGGGAGGATCTCACCAAGCGGAGCTAGGCTTTTTGGAGATTCTCTGAGAGGGCAGGTTTTGGAGAGTCAGGAATGGAGCAGGAGTGAGATGGAGGTTCCAGCCAAACACACAGGACTCAACAGAATTCTTTTCTTTTTTTGACAGTTAATTGTATGCACATGTGCTTGCAACACCACCATAAGTATTGGGTGATCAGAGAATAACTTGCAGAAGTTCCTTCTCTCCTTCCACCATGTTGTTTCTGGGGATCAAATTCAGGTTTGGAAATAAGAATCTTTACCCATTGAGCCATCTCACTGGCCCTGACTTTAGTGGAATTCTTATACTTAACAAAAAAAAATGTAATTGAAAGGCCATGAGACTGGAGACACTCTAGCACTTTAAATTCCTACATGAACATAACAAAGCCTAATGTAAGCAGTCAGTTGAAATTAGAAACTATACCAACCAGAAGCTGGGTGTAGGGGTCACACTGCTGTAGTCCCAGAATTTGGAAGTCTATAGCAGAAAGATTGTGAGTTCCAGACCAGCCTTAGCTATATAGTGAGACCCTATTTCAAGCAGAAGGAACAGAGAGAGGGATGGAGGGAGGAAGGGAAGGAGGGAAGTAGCGAGGAAGGGAGGGTAGCAAACAGAGCCACCAATTAACCTCTAGGTAATATGCCACCTGAGAGAAAATATTCACAAGTCACTTTTCAGAACACTTTCCATCGCCATGACAAATACATAAAATCAATTTATAAAGAAAAAAAAGGTTCATTTCTGTGCAGCATTTTGGAGTTTTCAGTACATGGTTGAAAGACTCAACTGGAGTCTGTTGTGAGGCAACACATCACAGCAGGGAGCACACAGTAGAAGAATATCTCATAATGGCAAAGCAAAGAAAGAATGGTGAAGAGACCCATAGGCCTACAGTCTCCACATGGGCCAGGCCTGGAAGGACCTCCTACTAGGCCCCAACTCTAAAAGTTTCTATAACCTTCCAACAGCACCACAGGCTGGAGAACAAGACTTTAACACATCTGTCTGTGGAAAACATTCTAGGTCCAAACTATACCATCACATAGCCACCAAAGACCTAAGATCTAGAATGTGTTTTTGAAATCTCAAAAATTAAGAATAGGAACAGGGAATTCATTGGGTAACTTGACACACAAGAATAATGACCTGAGTACAGCTCTCTGGATCCCATGTAAAAACTGGACACCATGGCACATGCTTGTGATCCCAGTATTCCTATAAAGACCTGGGAGGTAGAGACATGAGAAGCCCCTAAACCTTAGAGGCCAGGTAGTCTGCAATAGGAGAAGCATGGCAAAACAAGAGAGATCCTATCTCAACAAGATAGAAAAAGAGGACCAACACCCAAAAGCTGTCCTCTGACCTCTATATGCATACTGTGGCACAGAACATGTAACATTGTATGTACATATACACAAAAATAAATGAACACATTTTTTAAATCAACAATAAATAACAAATATGATCAAACATTTCACCAAAAACACAAAGATAGCTAATAAGTACATGTTTAATCCCTTAGCTAATAAGCTACCCTTAGCCTGTCTCATTACTGTTTAACCAAACTGATCACTTCCCTGACACCATCCCCAACGCCCCTCACGTTCCTTTTCCCCTCCCCCAGTCCTGTCCTCCTACACACAGTAGCCTAGCAAAGTACTCCCAACCCTTGTGCAAAGTCAGGCAACCTGATTTGGTCCTCACAGACTATTCCCATCTACTCCATGCTGTGAACCTCATCTTAGTATCCAGAGGAAGCCAATCCTGGACACTTAAATTGTCCCAAGTCAGGCAGCAGCTGAGAAATGAGGCAAGGTGGTAAAGAAAAGAAGGGCTTTCAGCCCTACAAAGAGGGCTGAACACAGCTGGGTACAGCAGGGTTCTTTCTGCTACTACCCTCATCAAGCTGCAGAGGCCACAGGCTTCTTCCCCCTCTCTTGTTCTCAAATCGGCAAGAAATGGACTAATCTTGGATTTTCTATTCCGTAAGCAGCAAAAAGCTTTCAAATCAGTGTTAAATGTGCTGCTTAATGGCCAGAAAACTAACCTCTAGTTATTTCACTATGGAATTTGGTGAAAATCAGGGAGTATGGCTGGTTAAGTGCAGAACAAATTATCCACTTCAAAGAAGGGAAAAGTTAGTGTGGGATGGTGGTGGTGGTGGGTATGTGTGTTTGTGTTTGTGTGTTAAACTCTGTGTATGTATGTGTTATGGAGTTTGTGTTGTGGGTAGTATGTATATGTGGTATGAGGTCATGGGGGGATGGTGGGTTGTGTGTGTATGTATGTATGCTGTGGAGGATGGGAGTAGGGGTGTGGTGTGTGTGTTAAACTCTGTGTATGTGTTATGGGGTTTGTTGTGAAGTATATGTGCTGTGAGATATGTATGTGTGTTTGATGTGGGTGGTATCTGTATGAGAATTGGGAAAAGGAGTGTGGTGTGTGTGTATCTGTGTGTGTGTGTGTGTGTGTATGTGTGTGTGTGTGTGTGTGTGTGTGTGTTGTGGAGTGTTTGTTATGTGTGTGTTGTGTGGTTATATGTATATGTGATATAAGGTGTGTGTGAGATGTGGAGTGGTGTGTGGGTTGTGGGATAGGGATTTGGGATACAATGAGTGTGTTTGTGTGTGCGTGTTGTGGCATTTATTTTGTAAGATATTATATGTGTGTGTGGAGTACATATATATGTGGTGTGAAGTATGTGTATATGATGTGTGATGGAGTAGGGTGGGATGGAATGTATGTATATGTTGATGGAAGTATGTAAGGAGTGTGTGTGTGTGTGTGTGTGTGTGTGTGTGTGTGTGTGTGTGTGTGTGTGTTACACAGGGACAGATGTACCCAGAATGAAAACAGTGGAGGGTGGAGGCCTTCAGGATTCTTTGAAACTCCCAGGTGGAACCTAGGTCCTACACACATCCTGCATGGACTTTTCCTGCCCAGCTGGGATATCCTGTGTTTGTCGAAAGGACTACACAGGGAAGCCATAACCATTGTCCTTCCTGAAATCTGCTAGTGTACACCTCCCCAGACCGAGGCAGCCGCCCCAAGCAGAGGAAGAGTGACTTTGGAAATGCGTTATCAGCATCCTCCATGGATTTCCTCACCTCCTGCCCAGCCCCATTAGCTGCTAGCTCCTCGGCATCCTCAGACAAAAACCTCAGAGGCTGGGATAGGGTCAGCATCCCGAGACCGGTTGCTTTTGACAGTTTCCTTTCTGGTCAGGCCTGGCCTCTTTCTGTGCAGCTCTGAGTGTGCCGCTGAACATTACAGCTGCAGCACAGAGAGCGGGATGGAGTTCTTAGCTGGAGCAGAGACTGCCGCCTTCAACCAGCGCTGGCCAGTCCGGCTGCTGCTGTGGGTCTCAGCCCTAAGTTGTTCTTTCTCCTCGCCAGCTTCTTTCCCTCCTTCTCTGGTACCCCGAGTCAGAAGCAGCTACACTCTGGGAAGGACGTTCCTCGGTCTTGATAAATGCAATGCCTGCATCGGGACATCCATTTGTAAGAAGTTCTTTAAAGAAGAAATAAGGTCAGAATTGCCATCAAATAAGTCTGAGGAGCAATTTGAGCTTCTCTTAGTGTGAAGATATCTAATTTATGGGTTGGAACTAGAGGAAGGCATTTAACAGTGGTAATGGCTTGACAGAAGAAGGTAAGAGTGGAAGCCAAATTCCAGCCCTAAATGCTAAAGTCGAAGTTTCCTTTTGAAATTGAAAGCTGAAAATTCTTTTCTATGACTGGAGTAGCCTGAGACTGTTAAGGTTTCCTACTCAATCCTCATGATGGGAAGAATGAAATATATAGAAAGCAGACATTTTAAACCATCTCAATCCTGGGTGTTGACAGTTTGTACCCTATTCAGATATTAAGCAGATATGGCAGAATTAAGGGACAGTTTGCTCCAACATTTCAGAGCCTGTTTTCTGTTGTGTGATACTGATCTGAGGAAAATCAGAGTTTAGTTCACTGTGATGAACGCGGGTCTCACCAAGAAATGGCATTCATGCCTATCAGCACACAGTCATGGAGTGTTTAACAAGGCTAGGAACCAGCAGAGACCAAGTGGGAACAGCCACCACAACTTTGCTCTTTTCTTCTAGGTGGTCAGGAGAAAAGATATTACAAATAATAGTGAGGTTTGGTCTGATGCAGGCCAGAGTGCAGGAGGGCCCGATAAGGGACACTGATTCCAGAGAGAGGTTTTCTGGGGAGAGGATTCTGAGCAAGGTCTTACAGGATAAACTGGGGGTTTGGGGAAGGGGAAGGCAGAAGAAGCTTTGTAAACAAGGGTGGAAGTATGGGAAGAGATGAAAGGTGCTGTGGCTAAAGCCCTGGGTATAGGTGGATATGGACAGAGACGCTAGGCCAAGAAATGGGGAACTTAGCCTGGGAAGCAGGGGCTCCCAGTTTTTTCAGCACCAAAGACCTTTTGTCCTACATTCTTTCTTCCCCCCTCCCAAAACCTAACCTTCTGCCTGTAAGATTCTGTGACCAAACAAAAGACATAAGCAAGGATGCAAGGATATGCAACCTCTTTATTAACCAAAGATACCTGTGATTGTTACACTAAATTACAAAAAAGAGACCAAAAAAACCAGAAAAGTCCAATCAAAAATATTTAACTTATTTTTTCTATTTTTTGTTTTTTTATTACTACATATTCATTGTACAAAATAATGGGCTTCCTTTTGACATATTCATTATTATGTGCCTTAATGATGTTTACCCCATTACTTTTTCTTGCTCCCCCTTTTCCCAAATAGTCCCTCTTTATTTTCATTTTATATATTTAAAAGAATGTAGCTTCTACATATGAGAAAAAATGTGACATTTGTTTTCTGAGTCTACCTTATTTCATTTAATATGATGATCTTCAATTCCATCCATTTTCCTAAAGAAGATATCATTTTGTTATTCTTTATGGATGAATAAAGCTCCGTGTGTGTGTGTAAAACAGAAAACATTAAACTTCATTTTTATTTTACTTTATTTCTTGTATATGAATGTTTTGCCTGCATGTGTGTCTGTGCATCAAATGCATGGCTGGTACTTGAGGAAGCCAAAGCATGGTGTCAGATGCCCTGGGACTGGAGTTACAGACAGTTGTGAGCCACCATTTGGCTGCTGGGACTCTAACCTGGGTCCGCTGGAAAAGTGTTCTTAACCCCTGAGGTATCTCTCTAGATCTATTAAACTTCTTTTAAAGATTTTAGAAGTTTTAGGGAGTTTATGTGAACTTTTGCTATTAAGGATTTTTGGTTTCTCTTTTGTTCTTCCTGGTGATTAAACCCCAGGGCCTTTCAAACGCCAGCCAAGTACTCTACCACTAAACTATTTTTCCAGCCCTCTCTATCAAGCCTTTTGTAAACACTTCATGAAGGTTGCAAAGTTGAATGACCCCTAATTAAGACCGCTCTGTTGCAGACAATAGGGAAGATATTAAGCTGGGAGATAAAAATCCATGTTTCAGGGGGATCTCACAGGAAGCCATAGGCAGAGTGGCCTGGGGTTGCTCTGAGGCACTAAAGAACCAGAAGACAGGTCACTTCAGACAAAAGAGGGAGAAAAGGAGACATCTGGATTCAGCTCTGTGTTCATTTTGCTAACTGACACAATGTGAAAGGAAGTAATATAAATATAGAGATGTTGAATTTGAACTCAGAAATTCTCACCTAGGAAGTGGGGTGCAGAGAACCAAGAAGTATGCTGATTACTCAGAGAAAGGAGCAGTGAGGATATGGATCTAGTTTAAGCTGGAAAAGAAAGAAAGTGCAAGATTCCAATAACGAGCTCTAGGCTCCCATTCTCCTTCATCAAGTTCAGTATGTTTTTCTTGCAATGCTGTTTCACACAGGAAAACATCAAACAGGGCAGGTCCATGGGGTTACAGCACTCTATGCTGAGAATGCTTAACTTCAACATAAAGGGGCAGAGAGGACCTAAGGTTATGGACCTGCTTATCATCTGTCTCACTACCTTAGAAATAATTTTCTTTTATTATAGGCACAGTAGTTACTTATTTCAGAAATATTAAGAAAAATTCAAAATAAAAATCATATATAATTCATTCTCAAGTAGGTTAGAGAGATGGATCCATGGGTAAAGTGCTTGCTGTGAACTTGGATCCCCAGAATCCACAAAAAAACTGGACATGACTGTGTGGACTTGTAACTCCAGAACTGGGAAGTGGTAACAGATGGATCCCTAGAGGCCCTATTAAAAAATAAATAAAATGTAAAAACAAAAACCATAATCTTAGTATTGGGAAGGCAGAGACAGGCAGGATCCTGAAGCTCATTGACCAGCTAGCCTAGCTGAACCAGAGAGCTCCAGGTTCTGTGAGAGATGCTGTCTCAAAAAACAAAATGGGGAGTGATTAAGAAAGGCACCTGACATCAACCTCTGACCTTCACACATACACACAAACAAGAACATCTGCACCCAAATATGCATGTGCACAAACACACGCACACACATGCATGCACATGTGCACCCACACAAACATCCAATCATTCTTACATACTCTTTAGGGACTTTAATAGTATGTGAAGAACATTTGTTCACATGATTAATTTTCTGCATAATCTGATTTTTAATGGATTCATGATATTGAGTTACATCAAACAACTATAATATATTTAACTAACCAACAACCATGAGACAATGGGATTTTTTTTTCACTTTTCATCGTTGTAAACAGTAATGTGTCAAACATTACTGCAGCAAGATTTTGTGCATCTCTCTTATTAATTCCCTGTGACAAACTCTTAAAAATGGTATATTTGGATGAAAAAAGCTAGTTTTTAGGATTATACGTGTATATATACATGTATATAATATCTTTAAATGAGTAATCGTAACTACAAAGATCATTTCTTACACACTCACAAATATTTGACTTGACATTACTAATAATCAATAGTATATTAAATTATATATATATATATTATTACGTATATTAATACTACATAATAATACACTAGAGAAAATAATATATGTATATTATATAAGCTAGATCTATTAATGTTTGTCCATATTATGTATACAAGGGGAAGGGTACTTAGTGGCAGTGTTTTAGAAATATTGACAGAGACCAAAAAATGTGGTTTGTGCAAGGGTCAACAGTGACTTGGTAAGACCAAAGCAAGTTTATAATGGGAACAGCAGACAGTGGGCCTAGAAAGATCATAGTGAACTGTGTTAAGCAACATGACTATATCCTAAGAGTTTTGGAAATTTAATTTTGTGTGGTCTATTTATTTATGGAATATATTTATTAATATCAATCTTTCTTTAGCTTGCATTTCCTCCAAGCTTTTTTTTCCAATCTGATTTTTTTCAGGTTTACTGGCCCTTTGTGTTTCTTCTTTGTTAAGCTGCAAGTTCATGTCCTTTACCTCTCTCTCTCTCTCTCTCTCTCTCTCTCTCTCTCTCTCTCTCTCTCTCTCTCTCTCTCTCCCCCTCCCTCTTTTGCTTGCTTTGGTGCTGAGGATGGAACCAGGGGTCATGGCATGCTCAGCACATGTTCTATCTCCAAATATTATGGCCAGTCTTTTTGACTCCCTCTAATGGGGTAGCTGTTCATCTTGGTCTTGTTTATCTCCTCTCCAAACATTCTTCTGTTTTTAAAAATAATTCTCATTGTGCCTCAGGAGAAAGCCCATCTCAGACTCTCAGAAACCTGACTGCAATTCTCTATCCTGGTCTTTGTGTGTATGTTCCTGATCCTCATTCAGGACTGCACAATGCTGGGATGCAAATGACAGACAAGCTTCCCAGACTAGCTGAGTAAACTCAAGATCCACAACTAACAAATGAATATACTTTGCCATCTTTGTTTTGTCTGTCCTTTGTAAGGATGCTAGTGATACACCAGGGGCTTCTCATACTCAACCACTGACTACTGAAAATTGGAATGTGGCCCAGCAATGGTAGCACACACCTTCAATCTCAGCACTTGGGAGGTAGAGGCAGGTGGAGCTCTGAGTTTGAGGCCAGGCTGGTCTACAGAATGAGTTCCAGGACAGCCAGGGCTACACAGGGAAACCCTGTCTCAAAAAAAAAAATTGGAATGTATTCTGACCAATTTTGCTGTTCGGTCTGTGTTGACTTTTGCATTCTACATTTAAAAAAATATGTTGTAGGAAACTAGGAAATTCTACTGAAAATACACTTAGACAAGAAACTCTGTATGATCCCACCAACCAGGAGGATCCACTAGGATCTGCTTGGCACATATTGTATATGCAAGGGGAAGGAGTACTTAGTGGCAGTATTTTAGAAATATTAACAGAGGACCCCCCAAAAAATGTGGTTTACACAAGAGTCAACAGTGACTTGATAAGACCAAAGCAAGTTTATAAGGGGACAGTGGGCCTAGAAAGATCACAGTGAACTGTGTTAAGTAACATGACTATATCCTAAAAGCTTTGGAAAGGTGCTGGATGGTTTAAGGGTTCAGTGTGGTGCAGAGATGTGTAAAAGAGAGAAGAGAGGCAAGACGTATTCTGGGAGGCATGTATGACCAAGACCCCTCCTAGGTGTTCTTGGGCCCTTACCAGGACTGATTCATTACGTCATCCTCCTGACTACATGTAATTGACGTAACATCCTTAATCCCTACTCCCAAACCCTTAAAGAATGTTCAGACAACTCTTACCGACTAGTGATGGGCTTGCCAGAAAACAAATGATAAGTTAGGTTTTGTTTATGTTTTGTTTTTTGCCTTCCCTTCTCCCTTGCCTTTTCTTTGTCCCCTTCACAAAAGCTTTGGTAGTTACTTTGCTTGTCTTTGTGTGAAATACATGAGAACAAAATGGAGGGAGGGTTTATTGTGCCTTATAGATTGAGAGTGATCCAATCCATCATAGCAAGGAAGTTATGCCAGGGAAGAAGACTTGGCAGCTCTATGGCCACAGGAGGGGGTCAACAGCTGGCTGCATAGCATTAGCAGTCAGGAAGCAGAAAGAGGTGTGTGCTGGTGCTCAATTGGCTTCCCCCTTTTTACCCTTTGACTCGAGTGGGAGCCCCAGTATATGGGGTGGCACTACCCATATTCAGGGTGCATCTTCCTGCCTCAGTTCAACTTCTCTAGAAACCCCCTCAAGGACATGCCCAGAGGTACATCTCAGATTTGGAATCCACTCAAGATGGCAGTAAACATTGACTATTACCAAAGAGGATAGTAATTATTGACTTAATTCATTTCCTGACCCCAATTCCAAAGTCTTGCCAACTCTAGGACCTATACAATCTGTCATTCAACCATTTATTCATGTGCCCATTCATCTACTGTCCAACTGGCTATTCATCTAGGCGGTCCTCCATGCATTCTTCCACCCCACCATCATTTTATGACTTCTATGATCCTGTCCTTTGAGCATCTCTCTCCTCACATATGCATCTTACATCCAAATATCCACCATGGTCCATCTATACATCCAAACATTCATTCATTCAACTACAAGGTATTGAGTACCAATTTGATAGGAAGCACTCTGCTAAACTCTTGAATTATAAATTGAAAGAGGAGACCTTATGTTTGCCCTGGAAGATCTTGCTATTGAGAAAACAGCAAAGTAAAGTAATGGCTAAAGCACAATATATAACATGTCCAATGTGGAGAGTCATGGGAACTTGTAGAAAGAAAGCCATCTCAAACAGAAGCAAAACAAATGAAGATCAGGAGTGGTACTTATTAGGGATTTAAAAGGTTGAATGAGTGTCATCCAGAGAAGAAAGAGAAAGAAAATGTTTCAGACAAAGAGAAGGACATGTCCAGAGCCTGAAAGGATGTAGTTATCCAAGGATAGCCAGTAGGTTAGTGAGACCAAAGCAAGCTTGTAAGGAGAATGAACAACAGGTGATAAGCCTTGAAAGATCCTTGTGGACTGTGTTAAAGACTATGACTGTATCCTGAGAGTGTTAGAAAGAAAATGGACATTTTTAGGGTTCAGTATAGAGCTAGGGCATGAAAAGAGAAGACAAACAAAAAATACTTTAAAAGGCATGTGTGAATACAGTAGAAGAGAATATTTCATTCTAATTCTAGTTAAGTCTTCCCTTGCACCACCACCACTACCAAACGCATATCTGCCCTCGTCACCTTGATGTTTCTCTCCAGTTCTGAGAAGGTATGGTCCTGCTGGTCTACCTTTCATGCAGTAAGAAACTCAGCCAGCCTTACCTCAATCATGCCCATGATCTCAATTTAAAAGAGAAAGTACAAAGTTGCCTGTTTTTTATTTTGTTTTGTTTTGTTTTTGTTTTTGTTTTGTTTTATTTTTTTGGTTTTCCAAACTCCAGGATATTGACATTTTAGTGAATATAGATCAGGGCCCACGTTTTCACCAACATTCTTCTAGTAAGTGAAGTAGGCAGTCAATACTGTGAGCTACATACTTTCCCTTTGCAGCACTAAATATCACACCATTTTGTCACACCTGTCTGTTTTTCCTCAAATTCATCATGAAATTCCTTCGGTCATCACTGAACCTGCAGATCACCTTCAAAGACACACTGTCATCTCACCAAAGCCTCCTCAGAAAATGACAACAGAAAAAAAGGGACAATGACCTTGTCCCACAGAGTAGGAAGTCTCTCTCCCCTCAACTCTACCGACTGGTTGAATAGAACCCCTGGGAGCTGCTTCCCTTTATCACTAATTGTCTTTGATTCTTCAGACAAGTCACATATACTCTGTCTTCAGTTTTCTCATCCTCAAAACAAGATGGAAAGGGGGACAAGAACAGAGTAAGCTTTCAGTACTTGCCAGTACTAGCCTTTAATAATATCAATGGGCTCCCATGAACTAATTCATAAAATGGACTATATAGGAATAAACAATAGTAACATGGTGAGGATAGCAAGCTCTGCAGCCTTTGTGGAGGCCCACTATGGTTTCCTAGTGAGATCGGAGCTTGCTTTACCCAGCAGAACTGCATTAGAGGATTGTTTGACCATGTGCATGGTTACCAGGTGTTTGGAAGGGTCTGCACTTGGCTGTGCTAGGGGGAGATCGTTTGCTCCACCCTTTGGCATTCCTTTAAAAAGCCCTTTAGAAGAGAAGAAGGGGCGAGTGGATAAGGATCCAGGCCCTCCCAAGGCTATCTTGTGTTTCTATTTGTCTCTCCCCTCTATCCTTCTGTCTAAATATTTCTCACTTCTCCCCACTCAAGAGTACCCTGGAGTAAAAGTGGGAGTAGGTCTCCCACAAGTCTTGAATGCTATTTCTTCCAATTCCTGGTCAAATATCTTTGGAAACATTATGTAACCATCCTATACCTTGGGGTCCTCATCTGTACAATTCATAATAGTAACAACCTCATAGGTATATTGAAAGGATTAGGTGCTGGGGTAGAGTATTTGCTTACTATGTTTGATACCCTGTGTGAAACACAAAAAGATTAAATGAATTAGCATACACAAAGAGTTTAGCAAAGAAGATGAAATACTTAGAGGTTTCATAAATTTAAGTTACGATCATTATCACCTCATTGTAAATCCTAAGTTCCAGGACCTTTGTGGGGTTGGAACTTCATGAGCAAGAGAAGCCAATGGAAGCAGGACTATCTCTGGGCCCTGAGCTCTTTCTAATCCTTCTTAGAGGGGAAAGTGGTTCTCCACAGTTGTCCTGAAACCTCTGGTGAAACTGACCCTTTTCAAGTTCTTTTCAAGTTCATCTTCTTCAATATCCTTGTGGCAAGATTCTTAAACAAAACCACTTGGGCCTGCATCCATTGCAATTTGCATCCTTGCACTGCAGAAGCAGTTTGCTGGCAGCACTTTCCCAACTCTAAGAAGCTGGAGCTCTAATGCAGAAGGGACTCAGAAACCTGGGATCTCTGGCTATTGTTCCTTGACCTTGACCTTTTGTCCTTGAAATTTTTCTGTGGCTTGCCTTGCTATCAAAATACTAAAAATGGCCGGGCAGTGGTGGCGCACGCCTTTAATCCCAGCACTCGGGAGGCAGAGGCAGGCGGATCTCTGTGAGTTCAAGGCCAGCCTGGGCTACCAAGTGAGTCCCAGGAAAGGCGCAAAGTTACACAGAGAAACTCTGTCTCGAAAAACAAACAAACAAAAAATACTAAAAATGAACTGATGGTGTGGTTCAGTTGTAGCACATTTAGGTAGCATACACAAGGCCCTGAGATTCCTCCCAGGCACTACAATTAACAAACAAACAAATAATAAATAAATCAGTGGAAAACTTGTAATCTCTTTGAGCAAAGATGAATTATATGAGTAAGAAAACAAAACAATATACAGTTTGGGACTCATCAAAATGCTAATTCATAGAAAATATACCTGCTAAAACTCATTACCATGGGCTGTCCAATAGTGCTCAATAATAAGAATATAAAACTCCCACTTAAGTTCAGTATTTGATATAGTCTGATTTTCACTTGCAATATGACCTTCAGTTAATAATAATGAAGGCAAACTTTTTCTGAGTAATTTTTTCAGACATAAATCAAAAGCAGATTCGACATTCTTCCCTAATGGAAAGGTCAGCACACAGCTGGAGAGGTGACTCTGCTAGAAAGGGTAACCATGGAGCCTAGGAACTCAGCAGATGACAATAGGCCAGTGCCTGTCCCCTGAGGAGGATTAAAAGTGGATCGAGCCACAGTGCACTGTCACCCACCTACTAGAACCAGATGGCTTAAGATTTGATGGACATGAAGCAGCAATGGGTGTCTGAAATTTGCTTGATGCTGATGGCTTAAATCAATGTTGATGGGGCTCCTTGGGGGTGGAGTAGTTTCTCAAATTCAGGCCCTAGAGCCTTTTGGAGAACTGTGTTTCCAGGACCCAGGCATTGGTCAAAGGATGAGTGGTTTGGACAACTAGAGTATGTAAAGGGTGGATTTGGGGTTTTACACCTCTGATTGTCAATACTGCATTCGATTTTGAGCAAGATACTTAAGCTCTATAAGCCTCAGTTTCTGCACCAGTAAGGTGAGAGTGGGGCATGAAAAGAAACAAAAGTGCAAAGCTATTGTCTTTAAATGGGGTTGAAGTTCAAAGAGCCACAGTTGACCCTTCTATACATTGTGGGGAAAGGACAGTTTCTGTGTGACTTCTTTTGACATCACATATACACTTTGGAGTTTGGCCAAATACAGATAATCCTCTTGTAAAAGGAGTTTGGAATAAATCAAAGGAAATGAACACACCGGCTGTTGTTCCATCTCCCTGCCCCTCCACCATGCTGGCTTCTGGCTCAGAGGCTTATATCCTATGCTTCCCACAGGTTTGACAACTCAATGACTTCCCACTTGGGACTGCCTCCTCAGGACTTGCCTTCTTATGCTGCCAATTACTCAGATGATTCTAAAACCTGGCGCCCTGTGGAGATTTCTCGACTGGTCAGCAAGTACCAAAGTGAGATCTCTGACAGGAGAATCTGTGCCTCTGCATCGGCTCCGAAGACCTGCAGCATTGAGCGCATCCTGCGGAAAACAGGAAGGTTCCAGAAGTGGCTGCAGGCCAAACGACTCACACCTGACCTGGTACAGGTGAGTGTGGGCCTTGGGTAGATGAGAGGTGGCAGGAGAGATCCACTCATACCTCGGAGCTCAGTCCAACACAGTAGTTCTCAATCTGTGGGTCATGACCCCTTTGGGGGTTGAATGACCTTTTCGTAGGAGTCACCTAAGGCAATCAGAAAACCCAGATATTTATATTATGATTCTTAACAGTAGCAAAATTACAGTTATGAAATAGCAACAAAATAATCTTATGGTTGGGGGTCACCACAACATGAGGAACATTACAGGGTTTCAGCATTAGGAAAGTTGAGAACCACTGGTCTAAGAAAAAGTTGTGGTCTATCTAAAATGTGACAAAACAATCATAAAACAGAGTGGCTTGTGACAAGACAGGAACATGAAGATTATTTTGTAAAGCTCTGTCCTATTGTCACCCACCACTCCCTTCTGTGATCCTCAGTGATCATTTGATAAATAGTCCCTAGCTGTCACCTTTGAGCTGAAGGATGACCCTTACCAGTGCACTCCCCTGACAGGGTTAAAATAACCTGCATCTTTCCCCCTGGATACCTTCCCAACCCCCAGGTGCTGTGAACCTATGTCTATATAAGCTCCCATATAAAGGCCAGGCGTGGTGGTACGTGCCAGTAATCCCAGTACTCAAGAGGAAAAGGCAGGAGGAGCATGCCACAAGTTGGAGGCCAGTCTAAGCAACATAGTGAGCCTGTCACACACACACACACACACACACACACACACACACACACACACACACACACCATTGACTCTGCTCTGCTCTTTTAGGAACCCTGACTAGTACATGTGGAAACTGTTTTGAAATCAGGTGTCAGGAAGAGTAGGTCTTAAAGCCACCATCTGACACTGGATAAAGCTGAACTTTCCAAGGTTGTACTTCTCCCCTACCTTCCTGTTAACAAGTTCCTACTAAGGTACACAGTCCCTTGAGGCAAGACTATTTCCATCTGGAAACTGGGAAACATAGTAAAAGAAGGAAGTTCGTAGTGTACAAGCTACATTCCAAAGTCTGTGGATATCTCTACTATCACCACAGCCAGCAGGGTAACAAATCTGATCCCAAGTAAGCAAGAAAGTAGTTCGGTTCAACACTCAATCCCATGTGCACAAGAAAGCTTAAGATATGGCTACATTGATAGATACTCTTTGTAAAGTACATAACATCTTCCAGAAAGATATGTCTTATATATTGACAAGCTCATGTCTTGGGCACATAGTGGAAAAGTAACCACACTATTAATCATGTCTGCTCCCAGCCTTCTGGGTGGAAAACAGGTTATGTATCTCTTGATTTTAAGAGACAACCCTGTGTGTTTAACATTCCTGGTTCCTCTAGTGCTTGTTTGCGAGCACGAGAACCTCCATACCTCTCAAAAAAGTCATTATAATATGGCTAGATGGGCCTTGGACTCTAGATCAATGTGGTTCTCAACCTCTCTAATGCTGTGACTCTTTAATACAGTTCTTCATGTTGGAGTGACCCCCAACCATAAATGTATTTCATTGCTACTTCATAACTGTAATTTTGCTACTGTTATGAATTGTAATGTAAATATCTGATATATGACCTCAATGGGGTCACAACCCACATGTTGAGAACCACTGCTCTAGACTAAGGTAAACTCTTTACCCCTTGTGTTCTAGACACTTCCATAAAAACAAGACTGTAGTGTTGACGTATGTGGACACCAAGGTATAGGCCAGAGACCCATGGGACACGAAAACTGTGCTTGAATCTCAGATCTGCCACTAAAAGTTCTGGTAGAATGAGAAGAAACATGGTCCCAGGAAGAATTGTGTGCTTCTGGTTCTCATTCATATAGTCAACAAGTTTCAACAACTGTGCTGCAGCTGCAGATTTGGAGATGAATCACAAACAACTTCCTCTCCTAGGAGTGTTTGGCTCAGTAGTGGAGACAGATAAGACCACAAACTACCAACTCTTTCATGTTGTGATGACACTTTCTATGGGGACAAGGGACAGACTACTGATTTGAGTCTTTTGTTCATTGACCAGTGGCCTTGAATTTAAGTCTTAGACTTGTACCACTCCACTTTGACATTCCTGCTGAAAAGTGGGGTAGAAGGAGGGCTTCTGGATAAGCTCAAAATCCCTCCAGGCTCTGACATTCTTCAACTTTTGTGGCTCTGCTGTGTTTACTTCACAGACAGACCTGACATCTACTGTCACCAATTGCTGATCTGGGCTTGGATTTTCTAGTTTCTAAAATGGCAGTACATGCTCCTTGTTCTGCCTGATTGCTTCATCCTAATATGTTTAGAGATAGGAGATGTTTTAGAAAAAGCCCATCACTACAGAAATACATGTGGCATTTTGGTAAGAAGTTAGCCCCTTCCTTTTATTTATTATGAAAAATTCTTCTCCTGTTTTTTTTCATTTTGTATTTGACATGTAGCTTACAAGTTTCTCTTCTTATATCTTACCAACACTCAATAAGACAGCCCAAACCATAACCATATTCACTTTTCCTCAGCCCTCCCCTAACCCATCTTTTCATCCCCACCAGACTTTCTCCTTCCCTATTATAAAATAGAAAAAACATCAACAACCACTATAAATTCAGGGCAAACCCCATTGCTTTTCTATTCACAAAGATCAAAATCCTCACTACTCTTTTCTGGCAGCATCTTCTCCCCTCCTTGCCATACTTTTCCCCAGAGATTCTTTGCCCTTGGAGTCTACAAGTCATCCACCCTTGGATTTCTTGCTACTCTTTTCTACTCCCAGGACTCATCTGACTATCACCCACAGGCCTGTTCTTTGCTTTAGCAAAACTTAGTTTCAAATAGGTCCTTCTCTGCTAACACTGGAGGGAAAAAAACCGTCACCTAGCCTAACCTAGGAGAATTGAAAACCAGACTTTAAAACAGTATCATAGTAAATATTCATAGCAATGCTACTTATCATAGCCAAATGGTGGGAGCAGCCCAAATGTTCATCAACTGATGGACAGCTAAGTAAAATATGTTGTATCCAAACCATGAACTACTTATCAGTCAGCCTTAACAAGGGAAAAAGTACTGATTCACACCACCATACAGATAAACCTTGAAAACATGCTCCATAAAATAGACCAGACGAGATCGGGCGCGCTCAGGGTGGTATGGCCGTAGACCTACTCTGGTGATGGGATGGCCAAACACCCTAATTGTTGTACTAGAAACCTCATCCAACTACTGAGGGATCTGGATGCAGAGATCCATGACTAGGCCCCGGGTGGATCTCTGGGAGTCCAATTAGCGAGAATGAGGAGGGTTTATATGAGCGAGAATTGTTGAGACCAAGGTTGGATAAAGCACAGGGACAAATAGCCAAATGAATGGAAACACATGAACTATGAACCAATGGCTGAGGGGTCCCCACTGGATCAGGCCCTCTGAATGGATGAGACAGTTGATTGGCTTGATCTGTTTGGGAGGCACCCAGGCAGTGGGACCAGATCTTGTGCTCATTGCATGAGTTGGCTGTTTGAAACCTGGGGCCTATGCAGGATTGTTTGGCTCGGCCTGGGAGGAGGGGACTAGACCTACCTGGACTGAGTCTACCAGGTTGACCTCAGTCTGTGGGGAAGGCTTTGCCCTGGAGGAGATGGGAATGGGGGGGGGGGGGGGGTTGGGGGGAAGGTGAGGGGGACGGGAGGGGGAGAACAAGGGAATCCGTGGCTGATATGTAGAACTGAATTGTATTGCAAAATAAATTAATAAAAAAAAAAAGAGACCAGACACCAGAGGGCAAGTATGATTCTATTTATAGGAAATGGGCTCAGCAGGCAAATGAAAAGAGACAAAAAAAAATTAGTGGTTGATAAGATCTAAGAATAGGAGAGAATTCAGAGTGAGTATTGTTGGGATAGAGTTCCTTTGGGGATGAACAGATTCTAGAACAAGGTATTGATGATGTTTTCATAGCTTTGTGAATGTACTTAAAACCCATCAAATTGTATAGTTTAAAATGACTAAAGTGGCCAGGCACTGTGGTACATGTCTGTAGTCCCAGCATTTGGGA